TTTTTTGCGAGCAATTCGCCCATTATATCCATGATAATTGTAGGTGGCAAGAAAATGATCGACGCGTATTTCTTCGTACTCCTTTATTCGAGGCGATCGTTACTCGAGAGTAAACGTTCGACTGTCAAAAACCAGGCCACGTCGTGATCCCTGGTCGCTCGCCGTTCAGTCGCCAGATGTCGATGATATCTAATACCATTTTCCTCGAACGGTCATCAATTACATTGATACAGCGCAGAGTATCGTCAACGTTTCATGTGGCACCGTATCGTCGCACTGGCCGCCACAATAATTAAATACGCTACGTACTGTATTTATATGTACCCTTTTATGTGTATATTCGCACAAGTGCGATGTTAACTGTGAAAAACTAAGTTCAGGGGTTCTTTTAACTTTTCTAATGTTTCATCGCTCTTCTTTTTCATTCAGTAAGCGCGGGCATCCTTTTCATAAAATTTAAAATCGATACGATCTTCTTCCCTGTACCTCTTAACAATATCTGCGACTGTACTTTATTCCATACACAATAAATTTGCAATTTCGCGATGCGTTAAGCTTTTTCCTCTATGACGAAATGACCAATTGACGTTTGTCTAAATTAGTACTTCTTCCTCTACGTTCCATTATTATTATTAACTATATAGCAATGAAGAGGTTTGCTAATACATTTTATCACGCAATAATTGATCATGATTTCGATTTATTTATATTATATATAGTAATGTATATATATGATAATACATAATTTTAGAGAAAATCTCTCTCTCTCTCTCTCTCTCTTTTATAAAAAACATAATCTATAAGATTCAGATTAATTATATAAACATTCGATGAATGGCACAGCAATGTTTAAAAAGATGCACTGAAAATTAATAATAAATAAATTTCAAGCATCATTTTTGACAAGAAATTCCGTAAAAATTGTGGACTGTATTCATATCTATGTTCCTTTATTAGTATTTTAATACATAAGCTATGAATTTCAGACTTCAGTCTGAATGCACCATTGCTCATGATACTGTACAGCTTGCCCGCCCCTCGCGTCATTTAGTTTGTTGATAAGGACAATTCTTTCTAACTCGCAATAGGCGCCTGTATACTTTATTACTTCTTTAATCTTCTCTCAGATATATGCATTTTTATTTAATGTTACGAGTACTTTCCAGCATTTAAATTTAAATATTTATGAAGTTTAATAAACTACAATTTAATTATAATTTTGTTTATTTGTAAAATTGCAGTTTAATCCGGGAAAAAACGCCGGCTCCTCATGAAGGTTTTTCATAAAACTGCGCATCTTGTAAAATGTTAATTGATATTTTACAATCATCTCAATTCTTTCGCCGTTTTAAATTGCACCTTCTCACTATTGTCATGAATGCATAAAATTCGCGCGGTTACTGATTACACTGCATGTACTTCTTTCTAGCTCTCCTTCTGAATGTCATATTCTTGCCACTGGGTGACTACTTTCGAACAATTTTCAGGAATTTTGTTTAACATTCTAACCACAACACCTTTTTCACAAAAATATAATACGGTATTAGGATAATTTATAATTCTATTCAGCAATAGTTCTATAAACATTAATAAAATATGTAAAAATATAAATTTATTGGTAGAAATTTGATATTCAAGTAGCGGTGTTTAAACTCCGAGTCCAAATGGACCCGGGTCTCGCCGTCCGAGTGTTAATAAAACTTACATAGGTTTCGACACATACATTTATGGACATTCAGAGTTCATAACGAATTTGTTTGAAGTAAAACGAAGCAAAATTATATGAGCTTCATTCTATTTTATTTAGGGTTCTTTGCAAAATTTGTTTTGATTGTTGCCATAATTTCGGTATTTTTTGTCATCTTGTTTAATATAAGTATGGCCACGATATAAACAAAAATTAACGATTTTTAAAAAATGCTTTTCGTTCTTAACATGTTAAAGAGGATTAGAAAAAACATAACGGATTGCAATAGTTTTGGTTTACACGATAACAGAACTCTGAAGATACTTCAGAAATTTCAAATCAATTGATCAATTAGAATTTGTGATATTGTGGCAAAAGTTTCGAAAAAAATGTGATTCCGAGAAAAATGTATTTAGAGATTGTCTTGCCAATTATGTATATGGAAGTATTCACATATACAGTGGCCCACAAGTGTTCGTACACCTTTTAAAACACAATAACTTTTTCATAACTGAACTAAGCGACTTGAATTTTTTTTTAGATGTTAGGGAGAATAGTCTACTAGAGGATGAGAAAAGCTTTTTTTCAATTTTACTATAACTTAGAATGAAAACTTAAAAACCTTCATTTTTTAACTTTTTTATCCAAACCTTAATGAAAATTTAAAAAGAGATTCGAGCTACAGACGTTGAAGGATTTTACAAACTGCAGATTTCTTATAGGTTTTTGTGAAAATCACGATAAAACTGCGATTTTTACGATCTTTAATTTGTTGTAACTCATACCAATGTGAACCGATTTCTGTAAAATATTTTTACATTTTTTAAATTTTCGTTATAGGCTCAGATAAAAAGAGATTTTTATGTTTTTGTCATTTCAAGCAATAGCAAATTTTTTTCTAGTAGAAACTAGTGGGAACTGGTAGACTAGTTTCCCTATCATCTAAAAGAAATTCGGGTCATTTAGTTTAGTTTCAAAATATTTATTGGGTTTTAAAACAAACACTTTCATGGCCCACTGTACATGTTACAAACGCACAGGATGACCAAAAATGTTGCAACCCTTACAAAGGGACGATTTCTAAGAGCATTTTATGTAACTTTTACCTTAGCAAAAATGTTCTCTGCGGTTTTGTTAACGAAGTAGTATCCACAAAACAACACAGACCAATCACAAAGCGGGTAAAACTGGTGCCCCATTTTTTCCGTGCTTTCCGTTACCAAAGCTGCGAAAAACGTTTTCGCTAAGGAAAAAATTATTTCGGATCACCTTACGAGTCACTTCTTTCAAGATCTTACAACATATTTGAGACACTCTATATATAACTTTGACTATTTTTACAAATTCAAACATACCGTTTTGTAAATTCCAAGCCAGAATACCTACCCTCTTGAGTGAAAGGAGAATTTCGCACCCTATCTTAAAAATTAACAGTTAACATAACCAACTGTAACCGCAGCCTACAGTAGTTCAGCATTTCAATACTTTTACGTTTTTCTCAATAAACGAATGATACTTTCCAGCAAATAGGAAGTCCTAGTTTATTACTTCGACAATTGCAGAAAAGAAAATCTGAATCAATGAATAAATTGCAGATTAATGGATACGGAATCCCAACAACCGAGCATTCACACCTCGCAGTTTATGAATTGTCTGCGTTCATTGAACACAGTTGCAGAGCAAACTGTTCGAAGAGAGTAACATCAGACGATTATCTGGTGATTCGTGTCGAAGTACCTATACCAAAGGGTAAATTAACATTTATTTACATAATTTCAATATATTGGGCAAAGTATTTAAATGAAAGCGTACAGTATTTGCAGTATTCTTGATTGCGTGAAAATAAATGCTGAGGAAAAAATCGATATTTAATTCGGCGTATATCTATATTTTTCTTTAATGAAACCCTGTATAATATACAGTTACAGGTAACCCTCCTATGACACGGTAAATAGGTTCCCAAAAAATGCCGTGTTGTGTGAAACCGTGTTATATGAGACCCAAAGTCAGTACTAAAAGGGGGATTACATACCGAAAGCTTATTGAAAACAAACATTTATTTTTGATCCTATATAAGCAACTTAACTTTTATTAAAAATATAAGTCTATGTATAACACAAAACGAAAAAAATATATTATTTTCGTTTAATGTAACCTTAATTTAATAAATTTCTTCCTCGTCACTACAATCACTCAGTACAATCAAACGAGAACGTTTTTTCGTTTCAACGATATCATCTTCATTTTTTGAACCTTCTTCTTCATTCAGATTTTTTGCATCTTCTATCTTACTTTAAAAAAATTTGTAATTTTGGTTTGTTTTCTGGCCCCTACAAGGTCATTGTAGATTTCACGGTATGAAGATAGATAATTTTGCAGCTCCCTTCTGAATTTTCGGCTTCTTTTAGAGTTTATATTTATATACCCTTAATTATAATAATTATATTTTCATGTAAAGGTACTACAGTTAATTATTTCTTCCTGTCATTATTTTAAGGTAATTTAGTTTTTAATGTTAAATGAAAATCATGTTATCCAGTGCTGTGGAAGTACAGTGTCGTAGAAAGATTTTTGCAATTTTCTTATCATGTTAGAGCGAAACGTGTTATAGGATGCCATGTTGTAGGAGGGCTACCTGTACTCAAAAAATTGAGCGTACACCTAAGTTGGCAATGATGATTAGCGGGAAAATAAACAAAAACGAACATTTTCAAAAGTAAAAACACAATATATACTTTATTTGGNTCAGTACAATCAAACGAGAACGTTTTTTCGTTTCAACGATATCATCTTCATTTTTTGAACCTTCTTCTTCATTCAGATTTTTTGCATCTTCTATCTTACTTTAAAAAAATTTGTAATTTTGGTTTGTTTTCTGGCCCCTACAAGGTCATTGTAGATTTCACGGTATGAAGATAGATAATTTTGCAGCTCCCTTCTGAATTTTCGGCTTCTTTTAGAGTTTATATTTATATACCCTTAATTATAATAATTATATTTTCATGTAAAGGTACTACAGTTAATTATTTCTTCCTGTCATTATTTTAAGGTAATTTAGTTTTTAATGTTAAATGAAAATCATGTTATCCAGTGCTGTGGAAGTACAGTGTCGTAGAAAGATTTTTGCAATTTTCTTATCATGTTAGAGCGAAACGTGTTATAGGATGCCATGTTGTAGGAGGGCTACCTGTACTCAAAAAATTGAGCGTACACCTAAGTTGGCAATGATGATTAGCGGGAAAATAAACAAAAACGAACATTTTCAAAAGTAAAAACACAATATATACTTTATTTGGATATTTCAACAGGTAATCTTATGAAAGAACATTTAATGAAATGAACTATTTATCTATATTTAACACACTAAACGTAAAAATATTATTATTTTGTCGCCTCAAAATTGAACATACAGATATTATATTATACGAAAATATTAATATACAAAAAATATAAATATTTTATTGCGTAACCTTTTGCATCAATAACTGCTTTTAAACGCCTAGGCATCGACGCGACTAGAGTTTTTTTGTTCTGAAACTTAAAATATTTTTCTATACATCCTTAATCTTAACTTTTGCCTCTGACCTACTGCTAAATCTACAATCATTCAATTTTGATATTAATTCCTGCCACAGGTACTCAATTCCCACATCCTACTTTATTGCGAAAGTAGTTAGTTTTGCACGCTTTATTTATAATTATTAATCAATTTCTGCAATGTAGAACGAGTCCTTCTTATTATTTGACCAATTTTTCTTAAAATACAATTTTACTGCAATTTTTCATACAGAATATCAGTCTCTGATTTTTTGGAAGACATAGTGCCAACTTTCACTAATAAACAATGACAAATGACGATTGAGCGTAACATAGCACAGCTATAACATGACCTAGAGACGGCTGAACAAATTCAAAATCGAAAAAATACGTAACAAGTTTCACTAAACTCAGTTTTTTAAACACTTAATTAACTATACGCTCAATTTTGTGATGACGAAATAAGTGTACTTTTACGTTCAGTGTGAAATATAGATAAAAAAAATATAATAAAAAAATATAAATATTGTGTTTTTACTTTTAAAAATGTTCGTTTCTATTTATTTTCCCGCTAATTATCATTGTCAGCTTAAGTGTATGCTCAATTTTGTGACTAACTGTACAGGTTGTGAGTAACTAAACAGCGTTTTTCTTGCAAACGGTAAACATTAGAAACAAATGATAAAGGAAAGAGTTATACTGTTTCTTGCAAGCAATACAATGGTATGTGTACATCTTTTAATCTGCATTACTTTTTCAGAAATGAGGGTGACCTTCAATTTTTTAAATGGAATGCCATATGAAAGCGTGTGCAAAAACGAATTCATTCGTATACATCATAATTTCCTTCAAGGTCACACAAGATCAAATGCTCAAAGAAATCATGCTAAACATTTACTGTAACCTCAAGTCGAATACATGTTCAATATGATTTATTTATACATGAATGCTTTCATGTGACCTTGTATGACCTTGAAGTTCATTATATCGTTTACGAATGAATTCGATAGCATTGCATTTAAAAAATTGAAGGTCACCTTCATTACTAAGAAAATAATGCAGATAAAAGACAATTACAGACACCATTGCATTGTTTACAAACAACAGTATAATTTTTAGCCGTTTCATTTTATTCTCTGATCTTTACTATTTGCAAGATAAACAATTCTTTATTTTATATCACACTGTGTGGTTAATAATTCATTTTATGATACACCATTATATTTAAACGAATCTTAAAATCTTTATAAAATTTTAATTTTTCGTTTATATCTTACCATTTCATACTTTCATTCATGCCATCAAATGATGCTAATGATAATCAAATAAATTGTGTATGATTCCCAATCTCTGGACATAAGAGTAGCGTAGCACTTTTTTCTAAGGAATGTCTCGTTACAAAATGTTGAATAATCGTATACTTTAAAAAGAAAATGATTTTAAACAAGTTCTTTTAAGGTTATACAATGTACCATTCGAAATGCTGCAAAGTTACGCCGAGTTTTTATGTTTATCAGTAATTAGTGGAGGTGTTTATGTTTATTAATATGGTCGTTGCGAGAGGTAAACGTAAAGTTTTACTCTCCAAGGATTGTAAAAATAATATTAATAATGTAGTCAACCTGCAAGGTTGTTTGGTTTTCATTTTGTTATCCCTTCAAAAATCTCAATGCTTTGGTTTGCTATTACATCCTGTATTTCAGGTGGACATATATCCGTTTGCTACCTAAATGCGTTGTTAGGTACCGATCAGAGGAGACATTACCTCAAGAGTTTCTATTTCTTTGACTGCGCTTGTGACCGATGCCAGGATCCCATGGAATTTGGCATAATGGTTAACTCTATAAAATGCAAGACAAGGTAAAATACTTTAGATTCTGTAATATATACAGTAGTTTCTCCGGGATTTGCCGAATTTCAGGGTGCTGGGATTTGTATCTGTGATATTGCTATGGCCCTGTACACGTGTGCTGCGGCTCCTTTGATTCGAATCCCCGAAAGACAACTCATAATACAATGACATAACATTTTTTAATTTTAACATTTTAAAACTAATTTTTTTTAACATATTGCTGATAGTTTTTTAATTAAAATGAGACCAAATATGATATAGTTTGGACAAATATTTCTGATTAAAATAAAATCAACCACGATATAATTTAAATTACATTTATTTATTTAATATTTATTGTAAAAAATTATATTCTATATTGAACTGTTTTGTGGCGTATCATTCTTGGAATCATGTGGTATCGTAGCCTACGGCGATGGCTTTTCTCCATTTCCTAATAACAAATACAAATTTAAAAAAAAATTCATTTATAAATAATTCATATTCACAAATTAGCTGCAAATTTTTACCATTGTTTGAATACATACTTACTTATTTAATTTTCCTTGCCCAAAAAATATAATTGTATCCCTTCACCATGTATTGCATGCAAGATTATGCATTGTGAAATGTCACTTCCTCGACGGCCTTACTTCTTCTTGAAGTTTTTCCGTTTCTACTTCTGTTTCTTCATTTTCGTTTCTTCTTTCTTCTTTCTCACAGTTTAATAAAAATTGTGTAACATGTGATGGGGTGCATTGTTTTCCTATGATTTTGATTCCAGACACTTATCATGTCTTGCCAATCAGGTTTAAGCTCTGTTATGTTTGATTGAATTGAAAAACTTGCAGGATTACAATTTTATTCCATGCAATTTTTCAACGTGTAATCGGCATAAAATCCATTTATTCCTTCATCATACGTTAAAACACGTTGCAAAAGTTTGCGACGGAAAATTGTTTTTATTTTTTCTATGATCCCTTGATCCATCGCTTGAAGAATAGATGTTGTATTAAATAAGTAAATATATAATTTACACTCTCCGTTAAACGCCTAGCCTCGTTCCACCGAATCTTCATCAAATCATGGCATAGAACTGTAATCGAATCTACGCATGTCCCCCCGAAATTTCCGTCGAATCATCGCTGTCCCCTCGGAATTTCCGTCGAATCGAGGCCCCAATAGCGCAACTCCACTGATATTTTCTTTGGAATGACATACATACATTCTTTGACGTTACCTTTAATATTTTTCTAATGCATTTTTTGTTATAATTACAATTTGTCTAATGAAATAAAATTCTTTTTTGCTATGTATAATGAATAAATATGATCTAAAGCATGACGTATTTGGTCTCATTTTAATCAGAAAAATGTGACCAATATATTAAAAAAATTTTCATCTACAAAAAATAGAAATAAAAAAGTTATGTTATCGTTTTCATTCTAGCATTACAATATATTCATAGTAATGTAACGGCATGTTGGCTGCTGTCTTTTCAAGTAGTTTTCCCTTTCTTTCTCTTGCTCTCTTTCTCTCTCACTCCCGCCTCCCTCTCCGCCTTTCTCCCTCCCTCTCTCTCTTCCTTTCCCTCTTTCTCTTTCTCTCTTCTTTTCTCTCTCCCTTGCTCTCTTCCTTTCTCTCTCCCACTCTCCTTCTCTCTCTCTCTCTCTCACTCTCACTCTCTCACGAGATGTCGGTAACTATAAAGGCGAGCCACAAGGCTCCAAGAATTGCGATTTAGTATTCTGAGATCTGTCATTTTTGACTCGGAGCTCCGAACATTTCTAGGAGAAACTAATATGTTATCGATGCAGTTTAGGTATTGTTTACCAAACTTTTACTTCTCCAAACAAAATTTTGCAAAATGTACATTTTTAGGCGTTGTTTTAATGTACATAAATTTCCATAACTTCATATAAAAGTATACCATTATGTATAGAATAGAATTATTCTATGCTAGATTTTATATAAAATTACAGCTGAAAAATACAGGATGTCCTAAAAGTTATTCAAAATCGGGATTCCTGAGATCATTTGAAGTAACTTTTTCCTTAGCGAAAATGCAACTTGCGGCTTTATTTACGAGTTATTAGCGAGTAACTTTGTCCAATGAAAAGACGGGTTCGGCTCAGCCGTCTCGCGCCAGCTGATCTCGTCTCTCATTGGATACTGTTTTTCGTTAATAACTCGTAAACAAAGCCGCGAGTTGCATTTGCGCTCAGGAAAAAGTTACTTCAAATGGCTTTAGGAACCCTTAATTTCCCGATTTTAAGTAACTTTAGGGACATCCTGTATAAAAGTCTAAACTTAAACATATCTTTCAAAATCAACCGTCCCAAAAACTGCAAATAAGTGAGAAAAACAATTTTGAAATTCGTGCTCAACGAGAATCATTTATGAAAGATAATTGAAAATTTTTTCTGATAAGTTAACAGTTAACTAATTATCGATTTATTTATAGCGAATGTCCCGGATACGTTTTGCCAGAAACATTCCTCGGAACAGAACCAATCCCATACATATGTAAGAATTGTAAATCGTCGATGAGCCACGACGAGGTGACCGAGTTGTTGAAAAGTATTGGCGATGATGTCGCAAAGATAAAGACAAACGGCAACAGTGGGTGTGAAGATTTTTTAAAACGTTACAAGGACGTTCTACATCAGAATCATTTTTACAATCTCGACATTATAATGACCTGGGTTAATAAGACCAGTCTAGAAGATCTAGGGCGCATTAATAAATGTGTTCTCTTCGATTGGATCAAATCATGCAAGAGGCTTAATATTGTACTCCGAATTGTCGCACCTGGTAACTTAATATAATTATAATTTCTAATTAGAATATAATTATGGTAACTACCGCAGAAAATGTCGTTACTGTGTCCATGAATGTTTCACGTTGAAATTGCGAAAAATAATTATATTCGCAGAATTCGCGATACTTAAAATTTCATTACGTTTATGGAATTTATAATATTGAAAGATATTTTATATATTTTATACTGGGTGTCTCAGATTTTGATATTCAAATTTTGTCGGCATACCCAATAACATTAAACAAGAAAAAAAAGGTTATGTAAATATAAACCATTTAGAGCTTTATCAAACAGTTGTGACAGAAATCCGATTTGCTGTTTCTACGAGCTACTACTGGCGAAAATTACTTTAACTTATTACTGCTTGCATAAACACACTTAATATAAATATTGAGACAATATACAGGGTGTCCTAAAATTATGGTACTTCCGGGAAATGATGGGTTCCTGAGATTATTTGAAGTAACTTTGTCCTTAGCACAAATGAAACCACGGCTTCGTTTACGAGTTATTAATGAAAAACATTGACCAATGAGAGGCGAGATCAGTTGGCGCGAGACGGCCGAGCCAATGAACGAAACTGGGCTTCGTCCGCTCGTTGGCTTGACCGTATTGTGCCAGCCGTGCTTACCTCTCATCGGTCAATGTTTTTCGTTAATAACTCGTAAGCCGTGAATTGCATTTGTGCCAAGGAAAAAGTTCTATGTTTACGTAACATTTTTTCCTTGCTTAGTGCCATAGAATATGCTGAGAAAGTTTGAACATTAAAACCTGGGACACCCTGTATCAGGAAAGATATTGCAAACTGTAAAAGGACAGTATAACGATTGATGGAAAGCGTGGGTGCGGAGAAGTGCGGCAAGGAAGTAAAAGAATGAGAAGACTAAATTAATAAAGAAGAATGAGTCGAGAAATGCGTAAAGTTCTATTGGCCGTAAACGGTGACGAAGATCGACGGTGATCGATAACGACCGATAGCTGCGGCAGTTTAAGCCCCCTTACTCAGCTAATAAGAGGAAGAATGTAAATACAAAGGTGCCTTCTTGTCGCGTAAGGATTATAAATATACAGGGTGTCCCGAAAATGTCTCGAAATCCGGAAATGGGATGTTCCTGAGGTCATTTGAAGCAACTTTTTCCTTTGCGAAAATTTTCTCCGAGGCTTCGTTTACGAGTTATTAACGAAAAACAGTGACCAATCAGAGGCGAGCTCGACTGGCGCGCGGCTGCCCAGCCAACGAGTGCGCGGAGCCCAGTTCCGCTCATTGGCTCTGCTGTCTCGCGCCAAATGATCTCGCCTCTGATTGGTCACTGTTTTTCGTTAATAACTCGTAAACGAAGCCGCGGATTGCATTTTCGCTAAGGAAAAAGTTGCTTCGAATGACCTCAGGAATCCCCTACTTTCGGATTGCGAGACATTTTTGGGACACCCTGTAGAGTAGAACATGGCGAATACAACAAGCATGCCCAAAGCAAGGTACTCGGATAAAGACATCGTGATGGTGGTCGTGGAGAGTAAGGATAGAAGAGAAAGATCTAGAGATATGGAAAAGATAAAGATTTAAGCAGAATTGGAGCAAACATGGGGAAAACTGAAGTTGGAGAAAGAGGAGAAAATGGGAAAGATGATGCTGGTGGGAATTGTCACAATGAAGGGCGGGACGAACAGGGTACAGAAATAATTAGGAAAGACGCAACAAGCAAAGAAGAAGAGGAGAAGATACATGAACATAGAAGACGCGGAACTGGAAGTAACTGATGAAAAAAAGAATTTTAAAGAGCATACAGGTTCAAGGAATAGAAATGAGAAATAAAATTAAGAAAGAATTTGAGCGTACTAGCGAGACATTCAAGAGGATCTATAACAGGAATTAAAATTAATTAAGGGAAAGTGATAATAATAAAGTGGTATTAATAAAAGATTAAGTAGGATAAGCTAACGTAGATAGTTGACGCAGAAACAAGAATAGAATTGGCAGAGGGTAAGAAATATAGTAAAGGGTGAAATAGGGTGAAATATAGTAAAAAGCACAACTGAACCAATAACTACAAGTTTTGTATAAATTATTATTTATTGCTATGAATGTAGGAGGATAACAGAAAGTAAACATTATAATTATTTTTATCACAATTAGAAATAACATACAACATTTTTTCAATAATTAACATCTTGTTGTTTAGGAGTAACTCGATTTTGCACCATATACAATACTTAAAAATATTTAATATATTATTTATTCTTAATATTTCGTCTACAACCTTTTTGCTTGCAAAACTGCACTCATTCGCTTTGGTATACTTTCTATTAATTTTTTGTATTAATCCAGAGATATTTGTTCCCAGTGTTCTTGAATTCTATCATATAAATCTGTGATGGAAGTTGGTTGGGGGTCATTTGAATCCTGAAGTCATATATTTAGTAAAACTCATAGATTCTCTATAAAATTGAGGTCGAGGCTTTTGCAGGCCAATCCAGTCAGAAATTTCTTTCAATCTTTTTCAAAGAACTATTTTCAACAATATCTATGAGATGATCTTGTGTAAAAGGCCATTAATTTGGTGCAATGATCCAACAGCAAATTCTGTTGGACACCCCCAAAACATTATGGATCCATCTCCATGATTTACCGTTTCCTTTACATGTCGTGGTTTAAGACTTTCATTTTTACGAATCCAGCACCAAGACATGCCATCTAAACAAATTCGGTTAATTTTGGTCCCGTCTGACCAAATAATCCATTCTTATTCAGTAGTTTTTTTTAGCCTAGTTTTTATATCTTTTGGGTTCCTTTCTTTCTCAATGCTTCTAAACTTGGAGGAATCTCTGTGCTGTTGCTTATTTGTATATTCGTGTTTTCTTTTAATAATTCTATAGTCATAATACAGCTTCGTTTGAAGGCATTTGAAACTTCATCAGTTGTGACAAACCATAAAATCCTTCGTTCCTCCTGCAGTGATAATTTTTTATCTTTCTCTAACACTTAATAATATAATTTTACAGTATTTTTATAAACATATCAACATTTTATAAACGTTCAAACTGCTAGATGTAAACATACTGCTAGAAGAATCCATGTAAACATTCCTTTTATGGATCAAGCCAATCCATTTCCTTTAGTATTACAAAATGAGAAGATAGATAAAAATTTATATAAAACTCGTAGTTATCGGTTCCGTTATTCTCCTTATTGTAAATTAGGAATTGAAAAAAATAAAAAAGAGCACTAAAACTGAAAAGAAGCTAAAACG